TTACTTTGGCATTCAAAGTGTTTCACTGACTTTTATTTTGGCATTCAAAGTGTTCTACGGACTTTTACTTTCACATTCAAAGTGTTCCACTGACTTTTACTTTGGCATTCAAAGCATTCCATTGACTTTTACTTTGGCATTCAAAGCATTCTACTGACTTTTACTTTGGCATTCAAAGCATTCCACTGACTTTTTCTTTGGCATTCAAAGTGTTCCACTGACTTTTACTGTCATAGTGAATGTGTTCCTCTGACTTTTTCTTTGGCATTCAAAGCATTCCACTGGATTTTATGTTGGCATTCAAAGTGTTCTACTGGATTTTACTTTGGCATTCGGAGTGTTCCACTGACTTTTTCTTTGGCATTCAAAGTGTTCCACTGACTTTTTCTTTGGCATTCAAAGTGTTCCACTGACTTTTACTTTCACATTCAATGTGTTTCACTGACTTTAGTTTGGCATTCAAAGCATTCCACTGACTTTTACTTTGGCATTCAAAGTGTTTCACTGACTTTTACTTTCACATTCAAAGTGTTCCACTGGATTTTCTTTGGTATTCAAAGCGTTTCCCTGACTTTTACTTTGGCATTCAAAGCGTTCCACTGATGTTACTTTCACATTTAATGTGTTTCACTGACTTTTACTTTGGCATTCAAAGTGTTCCACTGACTTTTACTTTCACATTCAAAGTGTTCCACTGACTTTTACTTTGGTATTTAAAGCGTTTCCCTGACTTTTACTTTGGCATTCTAAGCATTCCACTGATGTTACTTTCACATTTAATGTGTTTCACTGACTTTTACTTTCACATTCAAAGTGTTCCACTGGATTTTACTTTGGTAATCAAAGCGTTTCCCTGACTTTTACTTTGGCATTCAAAGCATTCCATTGACTTTTACTTTGGCATTCAAAGCATTCTACTGACTTTTACTTTGGCATTCAAAGCATTCCACTGACGTTTCCTTTGGCATTCAAAGTGTTCCACTGACTTTTACTGTCATAGTGAATGTGTTCCTCTGACTTTTTCTTTGGCATTCAATGCATTCCACTGGATTTTATGTTGGCATTCAAAGTGTTCTACTGGATTTTACTTTGGCATTCGGAGTGTTCCACTGACTTTTTCTTTGGCATTCAAAGTGTTCCACTGACTTTTACTTTCACATTCAATGTGTTTCACTGACTTTAGTTTGGCATTCAAAGCATTCCACTGACTTTTACTTTCACATTCAAAGCATTCCACTGACTTTTACTTTGGCATTCAAAGTGTTTCACTGACTTTTACTTTCACATCAAAGTGTTCCACTGGATTTTACTTTGGTATTCAAAGCGTTTCCGTGACTTTTACTTTGGCATTCAAAGCGTTCCACTGATGTTACTTTCACATTTAATGTGTTTCACTGACTTTTACTTTGGCATTCAAAGTGTTCCACTGACTTTTACTTTCACATTCAAAGTGTTCCACTGACTTTTACTTTGGTATTCAAAGCGTTTCCCTGACTTTTACTTTGGCATTCAAAGCATTCCACTGATGTTACTTTCACATTTAATGTGTTTCACTGACTTTTACTTTCACATTCAAAGTGTTCCACTGGATTTTACATTGGTATTCAAAGCGTTTCCCTGACCTTTACTTTGGCATTCAAAGCATTCCACTGACTTTTACTTTTACATTCAAAGCATTCCACTGACTTTTACTTTTGCATTCAAAGCATTTCACTGGATTTTACTATAGCATTCAAAGCATTCCACTGACTTTTACTTTGGCATTCAAAGCATTTCACTGGATTTTACTATAGCATTCAA